ACACAATAAATCTGTATTCATTTGAACCTCTTTGCTTCCTGATTTACTGCACCTGACAAACATTTAAGTAAGCTCAGGGGTGTCAAAATTCCAGCCTTACAGTGAAGACCAAACCACCAACGAATAATAAACCTGTGTGAATAACTGTGTAAAAATAACCATAAAATATGTTACAGCTGATATAGACATCATTTTCTCCTAATCTCCTACAGAATGAAGTGATTGTGTGCTCTGTTATTGTTAGATGGCTATTCAAGGAAACTAGGTACATTTGATAGCACTGAAATGTCTGTTGTGTTTGTGACTCTCCAACCCCCTTAAATTCAAGGGGGAAAAAAAGATACAGTGCCTCCCCTGCTTATGGTGCCCATGAATGGGTTGGTAAAAGGGGGTGAAGAATAACATGTCCCCTTAAATATATTTTAACTGAGAAATCATGCAGGGAACAGCCGGTTATTTCATCCACAGCAGATGGTGAGGTATATTTTCGGAACCATGAAAGATTATTATCAGACAGTTATGTTCTCCCCACCCCTACATTTTTCACCGAAAAGACAAATATCACTTTGTAAATATCACTACTAGATATTGCAAAGCAAAGAGATAAAGCAGCACAACTATTACAATGAATATGTGGGTGACGCTTACATATTGTTTTGGAAATGAAACAGGGTTCCTGCGGGTTCGTTTTTATATCGTTCCACAGAATATTTAAGGGCATGCTTTCCCCCACTTTGAGTTCTAATGCCATGGGCACTGTCTTAAATCTTTATTAAAGGTAAAAAGTAAAGTTTCCCCCTGTCTAGTCGCGTCAGACTCTAGGGGGTGTTATTTATCTCAGTTTCTTAGCCGAGGGAGCCAATGTTGTCCAAAGACAGTTCTGTGGTCATGTGGCCAGCATGGCTATACATCGAAGTGCACAGGATACTGTTATCTTCCCACCAAAGTGGTACCTATTTTTCTACTTTCGTTTGCATGTGTTCAAACTGCTAAGTTGGCAGGAGCCGGACCAAGAACAGGAGCTCACCACATCTCACGGTGCTTGGATTCTGAACTGTCAAACATCCAGTTGACAAGCCTAGCATTTTCACTGCTGGGTCACTGAACCCCCTAACAATCTGTAATGTTCTGACCTAGCTCCCCAAACACGACAAACCCTCTGAAGTTAAATCAATGATTCCTTGATTAGGAGCGCCAGTAGCCCCGGCAAAAAAATTCTCTCTCCCCATAGGCTAACAAGTCTGTCCAGCAGAGAAATGAATGGTTGTCTGCCACATCTGTTCATCTCCACCCCCTGCCTTTTATCTCCAGAGGTAGGGTGGGGCTTCACTAGCAGTAGTGGCTCTCTGTCCCAAGGACTGGCCCACCGATTTCCACTCCTCTCCTCTCCTCTGCCTTCTGCACATGCGTGCATCAGGCACTGGACCCAGCTGTTCCACCTCTTCCTCATCAGTTAACAGATAATCAGAGTTGGAAGGAATCTTGTAGATCATCTAGTCCAACCCCCCACCCAAGCAGGAGACCCTACACCATTTCTGACAAACGGCAGTCCAATCTATTCTTGAAAGTGTCAAGTGATGGTGCTCCCACAACTTCCGAGGGCAACTTCTGTTCCATTGGTTGGTTGCTCTCACTGTCAGAAAGTTTCTCCTTATTTCCAGGTTAAATCTCTCTTTGTTCAGTTTCCATCCATTATGAGCCACCTCCGAAGCTGGGAGCGGTTGACTCTCCATCTGAGGGCTGATAGACGGTCCAGGCTCCACCTCTGTCTCTCCCTCTCTCTCTGACAGCTCCATTCCCTCTTCCTCTCAGAGCACTCAGGTTGCTTTGATACTGACCCTGACTCCCAAGCCTTCTCAGCTGATTCAGCTGCTGGAGGGACCGGCAGCGGACAGGCCAAAGAGACTATGCTGCACTAGCTGTCTTCAGGAAAGTTTGGGGTGGAACATGGGTATCATATATGTGCCTGATGTAGAATACACATTAAAAGGTTTGGCTTCAAGTAACACAAGCCCTGGGATTGTACATTGTACTAAAGGCTAGTTTACTGTGGTGGAATGTCGTCTGGATTCCCAGGAGGGATGGGCTGCATTTCAGAGGACCAAGAGACAGCAAAGTTTAGACAATCCGGCTGAGAGGAAGAGGATTGTGACAGTTTTTCCTTAGAAATTTTCAGAGTGCATCCCTATTGATGCAGGTAGTTACTTTCATTTGGCAACATTTCTCTTAATAGGCAATACATAAAACTGTCTTTCTGGGTCTTTGTAGCCTGAAATTTATTCATCCATCTGTTATTGAGCAAAGCACAATTAGGTAAGTTGTGTGGCACCCGAGCAAACAGTTTGCAAATGCCTGGAAGATTTGTGAACTCTGCCATTAAAACAAAAACAAAAGAAAAGTTATCTTAGTAAATTAAATAGTTATGATTATTTTGGTTCCACTGGGTTTTTTTTGTTCAGGCTGCTTCAGAGATGGCCACAATTTATATACAAGACTTTGAAAGCCACAAACAGACATACCTTTGCTAGATATTGCAATATTCGGAATGCTCCCGATTCCAATTAACTTCAAAGTCAAGCAACAGCAACTTTCTGTCTAGTTACCTTCCTCCCCCAAAGAACGAGACCTTGTAATACCTTCCACTGACAGAATGTGTTGCTCTCTTGAGGAAACTCTATTTCTTCCTTCCACAATTATTCATGAAGACAAGAAGCGAAATAATAAAACACTAAAACAACAAACAGACGCAGGATTGATTTTAAATAGCAGAGGTTCAGAAAGGATGGGTAAGTAATTACTACTCTCCAGCTTCCATGATTATAGCTTTGATTTTTTTAATGTGATCAGCTTTGATGCATGAATTGAGAACAGATGCCATAAATTTGAATGATAACAGAAAATGCCAGGATTGGAAACACATCCGTTAGTTGCTTCATGAGTAAAGAGATGTATATGCTTGGAAGAGAAAAATTTGCTCATTTTTTTTTTTCTTGATTGCTTTAAAAAGAAAGGTGTTCTATCCCAGCTCGCCAACACGACAAATCCTCTGACGTGAACTGAAAAGATTCCTTTAGTAGGAATGCTGGCAGCCCCGTTTTTCTCGCAGGCTAACAAGTCCGGCCAACCGGAAAATGAATAGTTGCCTGTCACATCTATGCATCTCCACCTCCGCCTTTTACCCCCAGAGCTAAGGTGGGGTGTTTCGCTAGCAGAAGTGGCTCTTCTGTCTCAAGGATCAGCTCATAGATTTCCACGGCTCTCCTCTCCTCTACCTTCTGCACATCTGCACGTCAGGCATTGGAACCAACTGTTCCTCCTCTTCCTCATCAGCCATCTCCAAACCTGGGGACTGTTGACTCTCCATCTGAGGGCTGATGGACAGCCCAGGCTCCATCTCTGTCTCTTTGTCTCTCTGTCTCTCTCTCTCTGCCAGCTCCATTCCCTCTTCCTCCTCAGAGCCCCAAGGTTGCCCTTATGCTGACCCTGATTCCCATGCCGCCGCCTCCTCCTCCTCCTCTGATTCAGCTGCTGGAGGGGCTGGCAGCTGACAGGCCACAACAGAAGGGAGTGGAAGGTAGAAAAATGCCTGGGCATCTTTTGGCATTCATTGGGTGGTCAATGACATACATGGTGTAGGAGATGATCAGGCTAAGCCCGAGGGAGTCAAACAGGTCATTACTCATGAGTTTCTATATAACCACCAAAGATCCAAGTCCAGCCCACCTGAAATTCATTTCTTAACTCCCACTAATGTCCCTTGACTGCTAGTAATTAAGATTCTTATAGAGAGCTTACGCTTTGAGTCTTTATACTCACTTGAACTGCCTGAACCTCCTGATTTCCCTGACATGTAGTCCAGCCTATGAACTGCAGGTTAGCTCAGGGCAACTTGGTGTACAAGGCCAATGTCTTTCTTAACCCAGCTTGTTTCCAAATCAATGTATCCATCAGAATTTGACAATTAGCCCTAGTTCGAACTCCCAAGTCTCAATTTCCTAATTCTACTAAAAAGGCTACCAAGAAAAGCCCAAGAGAAATGATTAATGGTAAGGTAAGAATAAATCTTTATCCGAATCATCCTTGTCATTAACCCCATCATCTCAGAATAACAAATTAAGAGACTTGGAAGAGACCAACCACCTGCTTAAATAGGAAACCCCTAAATCTCAAAATATTTCACAAATATTTAAATATTTTTTACTTGAAAGGCCAGGAATAAAACTTGGTCCATTTCATGCAAGCAGATGCTCCATCATTAGCCACAGAGAAACTGAATGGGACTTAAATCTTGCTGACCACAACAGAGGCAGGCCACCTATAGAGACTGACACTCAGTACAGGTAATCCTCAACTTATGAGCTCAATTGAGCCCACAATTTATGTTGCCGAGTGAGAAAATTTGTTAAGTGATTTTTGCCCCAAACTGCATATGATTTGTCAATAAAGTGACTCAGCCTTCCATCCTTCCGAGGTCGGCAAAATTGTTGGGGGCAAGATACCGACTCTGTAAATTGCTTAGAGAGGGTTGTAAAGCTTTGTGAAGTGGTATAAAAGTCCAAGTGCTATTGCTATTGGTGGATAACAGACCTGGGAACATCATGGTATAATGCAATTGAACCAGGATCTGAAATTTCAGCCTCTCCCTTTTTTTTCTCTGTTGTGAAAAATCTGGGTTTAAAATAGCTGTGAGAGGTTTAGTTTTGCTTATCTACTTCTATGTACAGCCTGCAGGGCAACTACTCCTCATCTGGTTAGTAGATTGCTGTGTTTTTCAGACTGTCACAAAAGGAGAACATCAGCTACTCTTGAATTCTACAAAGGGACATTCATTCCTCAGAGCAACAGCAGCAGCTGGAGCACTTAAATGTCATAGGCACATTGGATTTTTATTAGAAGGTTTCTGGGCATGTTCTGGAGTTTGACCTCTTCTTGGGTTGCTCATCTAAAGTCTTCCTCCAGGGAGGACCAGATCAGAGCAAATGTCCTCCACAAAACCTTACCTTGCACAATGAGATGGACTCGTGAAGTTTTGGGGTGATTGTCCGTCTGTACCGAGCAAGTATAAGGCCCCTCGTCGTATACATCCACGTCATTTATCCGGATGGCATAATGGGTTTTCGTGTTGGCAACTAGCTCCACTCGGGGGTCCAAACACCACTTGTCATTGCCCGCATAAAGAATGCTGCTTCGGTTGAGCCAAGCTACTCGTGTCACTCTGTTATCCACGATGCATCTGAAAAGAAAGAAAAAGAGAGAGAGAGAAAGAGAGAGAGCAGGGATTATAATCTGCAAAGGAGTTTTCTGAACATAGACTAATTCCTAAACTCTCCATCCTCTTTTCTCTTCCTTCTTCATTCTGAAGTGAGCAGCGGTTATCCCAAAGAGAACAGACCAGCATTTTACTTGGATGTAATAGCTACATTCTAAGGGATGTGGTGGCTCAGTGGCTAAGACCCCGAGCTGGTTGAATAGAAAGGTCAGCAGTTTGGCGGTTCGAATCCCTAGCGCTGTGTAACGGAGTGAGCTCCCGTTCCTTGTCTCAGCTTCTGCCAACCTAGCAGTTCAAAAGCATGTAAAAATGCAAGTAGAAAAATAGGGACCACTCTGGTGGGAAGGGAACAGTGTTCCGTGAGCCTTTGGCATTTAGTCATGCTGGCCACATGACCATGGAGACGTCTTCGGACAGTGCTGCCTCTTCTCGGCTTTCTAAATGGAGATGAGCACCACCCCCTAGAGCCGGAAATGACTAGCACGTATGTGCGAGAGGAACCTTCACCTTTACCTAATGGCTGCATTCTAGATACAACCAAGAGAGGCAGTGGTTAAATGAGTTTCTCCCCACACACACTTTATGACCTTTCTAGTCACACTTGTTCAGAGAATCATTGTAGTTGCAAAGTTAGTCACCCGGTTGTTAAGCAAATCTGCTTTCCCCATTGACTTCGCTTGTCAAAAAAGAGGATCATGTGAACCGTCATAAATAAAAGTCAGTTCCAAGCATTTTAATTTTGCTCACAAGACTACGGGGATGTTGCAATGGTTGTAAATGTGAAAAACGGTCATAAGTCACTTTGTTCAGTGCCATTGTAACTTTCAGTAGTCACTAAATGTTATAAGTCCAGGACTACCTGCTACCCTTTCATAAGGCTATAAGGACTTGATTGGATGTCTAGGTCTGAGGCCCTGAATATATTTAGGGCTCTGGTTTCTAGGTTACATTAACGTCCATAGTAACAGCTTTATTTGGTGTCATATTTTGTACTGTTCTAATTGTCCATAATTATTTTTACTTGTCATGATGTACAGAGCCCAGAGTCACACGTTGACATGTATGGCTCCATAAATCAAAGCAAAATAAAATGAAATGAAATACATCATGGAATTGGCTTTCTGTTGATAGTTTTATAATTTGTCATATTGCCAAGTTGAATATGACACAAGTGCCTGATGGGGAGGAGGGTCTAACAGGATGATTTTTGCAGGATCCTTCCCAACTGTTTTATCAAAGAGATATGAGGATTAGGCCATATAGAAAAATTAAAAAAAATAAGAATAGAATAGAGTAGAGTAACGTAGAGAAGAAGAATGAACAGAAGGGAAGGGAAGGGAAAGAAAGGAAGGAAGGGTGAAGGGAAGGGAGAGGAGGCCAGTGGAGGGGAGAGGAGGGGAGAGTAGAGTAGAGTGGAGTAGAAGAATGAATGGAAAGGAAGGGAAGGATAGGAAGGGAAGAGAAGAGATGGGATGGAAGGGAAGGGAAGGGAAGGGGAGAATAGAGTAGAGTAGAGTAGAGTAGAGTAGAAAAGAGTAGAGTAGAGCAGAGCAGAGCAGAGCAGAGCAGAAGAATAAATGGAAGGGAAGGGTAGGGTAGGAAGAGAAGGGTGAAGGGAGGGTGGGGAGGGTAGAGTAGGGTAAAGTAGAGTAGAAGAATGAAGGGAAGGAAAGGGAAGGGGGGAGGGGAGGGGAGGGGAAGGTAGAGGAGAGTAGAAGAATGAAGGGAAGGGAAGGGAAGGGTGAAGGGAATGGTTGGTGCATAAGCACACCAACATGCCTGCTGTCCCTGTCCTATTGTTTCTTTTATATATATATATTATTTTTTCTTATATGTATCCATGTATTCATAACTATGTTTTTACTTATACCTATTATCTTGTAAGCAATTGACAAATAAAATAAAAAATATAAAAAGGAGGGGAGCGGGGAGAAGAGAAAGCATTTTGGCTGCTTTCACCTATTTTCAATTACTTCTGACTTCCTCAAACACCGAAATGTTTCCATGCTATACACTCAAATTAGCTCGAGCTCACAGTTCCACCCACATACCTCAGGGAGAACTTTCATTGAACCTTGTGGGTTGTATGTCACAATCCCTAACGATGCATAAGCAAAAGTGGCAATCACTCCCACAGAACGCTGCAAAGACAGTTCCCAACCGCTAATCATTAACCTATATATTGCATTGACTACACCATTAAATCCAGCCAATTACTTAGACTATCAATATAACGCTTCACAACTCAGCTTCACACGGGTATCGCCAAGAGTTTAGTTAGACTAAATATTTATTTTATTTTCTTAAAACATATTTATTTTCATTTGTCAACAAGGATCAACTACAAAAAAAAAAAAAAACAAAAACCCAAAAACAGATAGACTAACATTTAACACTAACCATAGAAAAAGTTTGTTTGTGTGTGCGTATAAAAGAAAGGAAAAAAAAGAGACACCCTCCCCATGTCAAAAATATATGGGTAGTGAAAAATAATAATAATTTAAAAAATAGTAAATTTTCCTCCCCTTATATATAGATAGTCCTCAACTTACAACTACAATTGTCCAGAAGTTATGTTGCTAAGTGAGACATTGTTTTGTCCCATTTTATGACTTATCTGGCCACATTTGTTAAGTGAATCACTGCCGTTGTTAAGCTAGTAACATGGTTGTTAAGCGAATGGGGCCTCCTCATTGACTTGCTCATCAAAAGGTCGCAAAAGGGGATTGCATGACCCCGGGACACTACAATCATCATAAATACAAGTCAGTTGTCCAGATGTCCAGATGTAAATCATGTGAACATGGGCATGGTACAATGCTCATAAGGGTGAAAAATGGGGAGGAGGAGGAGGAGGAGGAGGAGGAGGAGGAGGAGGAGGAGGAGGAGGAGGAGGATTCTTTATTGGCTAAGTGTTATTGGACACACAAGGAATTTGTCTTGGTGCAAATGCTCTCAGTGTACATAAAATAAAAGATACATTCATCAAGAGTCAAGACTCACCAGGTACAACACTTAATGATAATCATAGGGTACAATAAGCAATCAAAGTCATGGACTTCCAGTTTGGCCTCTTCAGGGACAGACTGAAATCCGCGATCGTGCGCGGGTTTCGATCTGTGCTCACCGCTGGAGCACCCCAATCCTTTTGATTAGGGGCTGAAGCCACCCCGTAGAGGTGGTGAAGAGCGGGGAGATTGCTAGCTGAGTGGAGGGGAGCCGCATCTCTCCTCCTTGGCTGGTCTAAACTCCCTTCCCCGAAGGCGGTTGCAGCGGTGGTCAGAAATGGCCACCTCAAAGAAGAACCTGACTGGATAAGATTGTGCAGGAGGAAGACAAAGAGGAAAGCAGGACAGACCATGATAAACAACAGAGAACATCTAAGCAAGGTACCCTGAATCTAAAAGTACCTAGAGGGATACTTCTGAAAGAAGATCTTTAAGCGGCGAAGGAGAGAGAAAAAGAGGTTAAAAACCCTTTTTTTACCTGTATGTTGACAATTACAAATGGCATGGCAAGAAATTTATATTAATCTATTTTGACACTAATAGGCAACCTTAAGCTGAAATCTAAGTATCAAAAGGAGAATAAAGATTTTTTTCTTGGTCATTTTAAAGCCCTAAAAAGGAGAAGAGTGGAGGCAAAAGGGTGGGACTTGGAATAATGGAAAAATGGAGTGCCACCTGGAAAAATAAAGAGGATTAACAGTGAAACTTTGAAAAGACTCCCAAGGATATATTGTAACTGAAATCTTATTAAAAGATACAGTAATGCACGGAAAGGAAAAGTAAAGGAAAGAAACAAGAAGGAACAGTCTGGGATCATTTGGTGATTTTTTTAAAAAAAGATTTAGGCATTGTTTTTTTCTTTCTTTTTCTGGTTTTACTTAAAGTCAATCGGGTGGTTGTTCAAAAGTGCTTAAAATGCCATCACTCCTGGAGGAATTGAAGATGAGTCTTAAAAAAAGAGAAAGGAGATGCAGAAAGGGGAGGAAGATCCTTTGGTTTCGTATTTGAATTTTTTGAAATGGAGATCGTGACCTATGAAAAGCAAAAGGAAAAGCTTCAAGAGCAAGAAGAAGGGCGGGACAAAGAAGAAGCCATTTTCAGTGATCAAATAATGCAAAGTGTGGTAATAAGGGGAAAAGGGGGGAAAGGAGTTAAAAGTTTGAGATCAAAGGGAACAGCCAAAAAGAAATATAGTCTGAAAAAAAAGTATAACAGCAAGGAGAAGCAGAAAAGAAAATTACAGAAGGGAAAATTAGAGAGAGAAGGGGATAAAAAGGGGGATAAGAAAAAGGGGAGAAAGATAGAAAGGGAAAGAACTTATGAGGGACAAAAACAGGAAATAAAGAAAAAAGGGGAAACGTACTAGGATTAAAGGTATTTGCTCAGCTAGAAAACCCAGAGACAATGGTTAAATTAAGTTAAAAGTGAGGATTCTGCAAAGACTACAAAAGATAGTGTTGTGACAGTATAATACTGTCATGAGTTAGAAATGAAATAAGTAAATAATCTATGAGATAAAACTGTATTGTTATGTAATGGTATGTTTATTTATAATTAATGCAATAATAAAGAAGAGAGCAAAACAATGCAATTGTTTCTAAAGATTGATAAAATATTGAAAAGAAATGTGAAAGATTTATAAGGAATTTTATACCAGTTATTAGAATTAATTTGAATAATTATTTCGCTTATTAATAGTAAATAATTTATAAGATAAAACTGTATGATTATGCAATGGTATGCTTATTAACAGTTAAATAATAATGAAGAAGGGAGGGAAACATTTCAATTGTTCTCAAAGATATTGAAAAGAAACATGAAAGATTTACAAGGTTCATACCAATACTAGAATGATTTTGAATAACTATTTTGTTTACTAATGTTTATATATATGTATATATTGTTTTTGCTATGTTTTTAGAATTTTTCTTTTTACATTTTCAAGGGTAAGTACCA